TTGTTTATTATATGCTTTTTAATCGCATTGGGATCCACAGACAGAGATAGCTTGCATGTTCTTGTCTTGTTGATGGGTGGGTGGGGCTGTCTGTTTTGCATGTTTTTTTTGTATTCTCTTGGTCAGGCGCCCTGTAAACCCTCATTGTGTGTGTGTGTGTGTGTGTGTGTGACTCCCACCGAAGCCACCATAAATACATACAATGTGTCTGAGACTTCCTCGACTTTGTCCAGTTGTCTATCCCATAGAAAAGCAAAACGATTTGGATTCACATTCTCCATCTGTTGATGAGCGCATATTGCTCCATGAACGGATAAGGTGGCCTGTTGGATTTCATGGTCAAACTCTACCTATCCTGTTTCAGTCATTTTTGGTGATATGCACGGGCTCATTCGGACGACCTTAGGCTTTCCTTTAGATTTTCGCATTCCCGTTGAATGTCAACAACGCCATCAGAACCAGTCCATCCACGACAACCCATCTGCATCATACGTGGCTGTCTTCAAGGTTGTGCTAAGTTGTGTCTGGTTTTTGAAAAACCGCATTTGTGTTCTGTGTTATGCACAGTGATCCAACTCTACTGTGCAATGTCCGACCGATTCTCCGTGTCACTCACACCTATTCTCTCAACCGCCGTTGGTCACCGTTGCAACGCCAAGGAGGTATTTTGTTCGGACTTTACCACTGCCGTCTTACTCTCCTCATTTATTTATATCACATGATAATCCTTTGATTGTTCAATACCCCTTCCCCAAAAATTTGTTTAAAATTATTTACTCAGTGAAATTAGGTAAAGGAATTAAAACTTCAACAGAGGGAAGTTTTTCTAACTTGGGTTTTCCATGGGTGTAATCAGCCTAATAGAGCTTAGTTCCCAACTATTGCAATCCGAATAGATTGTGCCATCACTTGTTTCGTGCTTGTGTAAACCCCCGGCTTCCATGGTCATGTGTGTTTCTTCTCTTGTCAGCTGTGTTGTTTGACTATTCGGATGTGGTTGGGGCACGTGCTGCGCGCATTTCACCAAATAGGTTGCCACGTGGAGCGATGTTTGCCGAGGTAGGTAGCGGATGGAAAAAGGTCAAGGATAGTTAAACTAAGACTTGGCATGAGTACATGAAAACCAGAACGCTGGGTCACATAGGTGCAGTAAGGCTCCCTGGATGGGGACCGCGAGATCATGGTAACCGGGGGTTGGAGAAGCTGAGTGATATGGCTGGGTGTTGCAAACTGTAGCGCTAATGCACATACTTATTATTCTTGCAACCTTAGTCTATATGAATTCTCTATCTTCCCCTTGCATTCGGTCTCAACATTCCAATTTTGTTTCTTCTACTCTTTTATCAAAATGGCTGGCCAAAAGTCAGTAATCAAAACCGGCGCATGACAGTGCATGGTTAATGTTTGTAAAAACTGAAACTGATTTAGGTGATTTAGGGTGCACCCATGGTTACTTGTGCTATATCGTGTTTTGTGCTGGTCTGTTGTCATATTTCTGTATCCATTATTTCCTGCTCCTCGCTGTCTTGTGATCATCGATTTTCGTCACCTCTGTCTGTTCACAATACCCGATGGGTATCGTCAAAAGCGGTTGGTTCGCCTTACACCGGTCAGAGTGAACGATCCAGCCTCGCGTCAGAACCTTCCCCGAATCCCCATTTTCGTCACACTGCGGAGAACACTCCCGGTCTGTCCGGATCGAGTGATGCTCCTTCGACCACCATAGCCTACTCGGATCCGGTGGGTAATCCCGTGGTCGCTGTAGCTACGCTGCAAGATTTGATGGATTTGGGAAATATTGGCACCGAAGATATACATGCATTCTTCGGTCTGGTATGCTTGCCTGAATCACAGTCGTGTTCTCGTTCGTGTTTGTGAGACGTTTTCTCTCGTTCACTAACCCGTGGAGAAATCCGTGATTGGTTTGCAATGTTACACCCAGCAAGAGTAGCTTTGTTTTGTTTGTTTGTTATCCGTCACTTTTTCTGTTGGTTTTTGTTCCTCTCCCCTTCTTGGCGTTTTTTTAAATTTTTATTCGTCTGTTAATTCTTAGTAGATCTGGAGAACCCGCTTCGGGATCGTTCTCGCAGCGTCCGTGAACAATTTATCTCATTTTTGTGTACTATATTATGAACTGTAAACACCTGAGAACAAATTTCATTGTTACCATTTACTGTGTGTTTGTTTCAAAACGGTATCCGTGTTATTGACATTACAGTCCATTTTATTCGGCATGCGCTTTATACCTTCAAAATTCAAAGTGATGCTATAAGACTGGGTGTCGTCTACCTCAGCGCTGATGCTTGATGGTCATTAATTAACTGTAGTGGAATGTTTCACCTACTTAGGTAGCTGCGTTTCAAATGACGGTAGTATAGTCAATGAAGTAGCTGCTCGCATTTCCAAGGCTTGAGCAGCTTACGCAGGACTGAAACGACTTTGGTGCAGACGCGATGTTTCATTAAAATGGAAAGGTCGCGTTTACTGCGCCAGTGTGCGCTCTGTTTTGTTTTATGGTTGCGAGACCCTAAATTTTCGCGTAGAAGATATTCGTCGTCTTGAAGTATTCGACTGTACATGTTTACGTAGTTTGGTGCGGGTTGGATGGGGCGAGCTTGTAAGCAACTCTGAGGTGAGGTGTCGCGTATTTGGTGATGATTCGATTTAGAATTCGTTGTCCCATCGAATTCAGATTAGTCGGCTTCGCTGGTTAGGACACGTATTGCGCATGCCCAGGCATCGTTTNTCGTTTATCGCAGCGCGCCTTATTCTTCAATTGCGGCTCCAGGTTGGAAGAAACCGCGTGGAGGTCAACAGATGACATGGAAGCGAGGCATGAAGAAATGCACAGAGCGATTATGTAGATTCGGTGTCTTCCGTCTTCCAGGTTGGGGTTCGAAAGACTCTGCAACTGGCTGGCTGGAGACATTAAAGGATATGGCGACTAACCGACATCAGTAGCGTTCTTGTTATCATTTCTTAACAAGGCAGAATGCTTGAAAAAACGTGTGTATGCACACTTGGATTGTGTGCTCTGTGTTGAACATAGAGGTCCTTTTTCTTTGCCTCCCTCCAAGTGGGCCCAATCCCTCTCCAGCTTGTGCTTTATCACTTGATTTTTATACGTTGTGAGTTTGGTAGCGATCAGTGAAGCTCGCTTCACTGTATCTCGCTGTACGATGATGGCAGTCCATTTTCTCTCTCTCCATACCCTCCATCTATTCACCTGTCGTTCCCTTAGCGTTCCACTCAACAACTGCCCCAACGCCTATTCGCCGTGACCCCTCTGCCCTGGTGTCCTCATTTGCGATCAATTCAGATCAATCCTGAATGGGTGCCGAATGTGAATGAGCCATGCGGACGATGCACAAACGATGTGGAAAACTGGGTTTGTTTGAATTGTTACGCGGTAAGTTCTCCGTATGTGTATTTTTGTGTTTTGAATACATCAAAATGTATGATTAATTCGTTATGTGAATGAAGCACGAACTGAAAAGGTTAGAAGTACACTGTAAAGCTGTTTCGATCTGGTTTGGTCCCGTCAGCAGTACGGATTCATTGTGTAGTAAATGTCTGTGACTGAATCCAGAGCCTTACATACGTGAGACCTAAGCCCCCCCCCCCCCCCTCAATGAGCGTCAACAGAGTTGCTCGCGAATGAGATCTCATTCTGGCCATATCAAGTATGTATGATTTGGCAATGAGTCCATAGCCCTCTCCCCCGAAAAATTTTCAGAAAAAACAAGGTTTGTATTCCTATAGTATGTTATCCCCTGTCCCCGTGAACAACGGAATCATTAATTTGCACAAAACAAAAAAGTGTAAGAACTTGCTCATCTAACCTCAATTGATAACTAGTCAATCAGTTTGATATGTACATCATCTGTTACCAAATTAGGTAACCAATGATACTGGTGGTGGGTTCGAATCTTAGTCTCTGGGGCTGGAAATCCAGTGGAAATGAGTTAGTGGACTGTACCATTCTCATGCCTCTTTTATGGCGACCCTGACTGCGTAGGCATATACGCATCGGGATCTTAGCTGTCCCCTCACAGTGAACTAATGATACGACAAAGTGGCTCATTACTAGCTTTGCGTAAAGGTTGATCAAGCCTAGTCGCTTATAGTTTGTGAACTGTGAACATTCTGCACTCGTTTAACTGAATGTTTCCGCAATAGTGGTTCGGTTATCATCTCCAAGTTACCAATTATGTCTGGAGTGGTGAACACACAAAGCTGACTGCAATACTGTCACTTTTCCCTTCTCGTCCTCCAACACTGTTGTTATTTCTTATCCACCTAATGTATTCAGTCAAGATCCAGATAAAATTGATTAGTGTTCACACGAGTGATCATTCGAACAACAACAACAGTCCGTACTGTAATTCGTTGAAAACACTATCCCCCCTCGAAAAAAGCATTTAAAAATATCAATCGAAACCAACTTTCGTCGATGATAACTTAAGCATGTATTCATTGATCTGTGAAAATTCTTCGGAAAACCCTGACGTAAACAAGGTTTCTCTTGTTCCGGAGTTGAAAATGTTTGGAGCATTGTCAATTGGCAGTCCGCTGGTTCGTTTGTCCCTCTGCCTCCTCTTCGGGCCGAGATAGCAATCGTAGGGTATCACGATGCTTTTCTAGGATCTGCATTTGTAGAAACACCTGGTGTATCTGCGTCTACGGCAACTACCCTTAATCAGAAGCGGTCGCTACTGGGTAATACAACAGGTACCACAAACGTTTCCTGCAAGTGGTTAAAGTATCTACTTATTCTGTTTCCCAATTACTCGTCTCGTTGCACCGCCTCAGTGTAGTGTTGGCATTTGACAGTACTCCAAAAATTTTCGACTCCAGAACAAGAGAAAACGTCACTTGATGAGGTTGGACAGGAAGTAATTCGGCAAGACACTAGGGATTTTCAGAGCTTTCCCATTCTCTCGTATCTGGACCTATTAGCCATGTTAGTACTAAGAATTTATGTACCGTCAATGTTGATTGTAGTATAAAGTTCTTTCATATGTATCGCCTTAAGATTGAGGAATTAGAGCATTAGCTTAGGTCCGTTAGACTTGTGTCAAGGTGACCGAGCGGTCTAAGGCGCTTCGTTCAGGTCGCAGTCCACTCTGTGGGCGTGAGTTCGAATCCCAACCTTGACAACAGTTTCTGGGTGGTGGTGGCACAGTGGTTTAGTCGCTGTCACCGGCGTGCTTTGGACCCTATGATCCGAGGTTCGAACCCCTATCCATTGTGCATCTGTGACAGAAATCGATTTAGGACGACTTCCGGCAAGTGTATGACCAAGTATTCGATGATCTGATAGATGAGCGCGGTGGAGGCACGCAAGCACTAGTGATAGTTGAGACAGGTGCGTGCCCGATGGGTTTGAGGCCCCACTGCCATGGAGGACCGGATCAATCTTATTGAGACCTTTCGGGATCTATTTGGCTATGCGTTGTTTCATTTGGGAGTTACAAAGCATCCAGCATTCTGTTGGTTACTCCTACAGTTTTTCTTACCTCGAAAATGTAATGCTGTAATCTGGAAATGCCTCTGATGTAAATGCTTTCCGTTTCGAGCATTTACTCAATACGATGATTATTTTCATGCATCGAAATCCCATACTTGATCGACTCTCTGTTTCTCCCCATTGCACTCATCTGCACTGCTCTGGACCTGCCCCATCCCGATCAGGTGTATTGTGGTCGTTATGCGAATTCTCATATGCTGGAACATTTCTCTTCTTTGCGTCACCCTCTCGTGCTTAGCTATGCGGATTTGTCCTCATGGTGTTACGAGTGTGAAGCCTACATACACAATGAGGTGAGTGTTGCTTTTCCTATCTGTACAATGCGGGTGGAAAGTGTGCTGTTGGTTTTTTACTTGAAAAACCATTTTCCGAAGCTGACTACTGTAATGCTTTTCAGTAGTCAGTTCACTTCAACTGCATCCGTGAAGTTTAAGTGATGACCCTTAAAAAAGGTGAAAGAATGTAATTCAGTGATCATTATTTTGTGCCATATGCGTAGTCGAAACCTTGTATCCGAATCCCTTAAAAATGCTAATAGTCATTTAGGCATCTAAGCCAAACTGGATATGAACACGCACTAATGTAATCCGTCTCTGANTGAACACCGTATTTACACGCTTCAGTAGATTTTAAAATGACTACTACAGATATTTTACCCGTCAGACACTGTGACAGATGATACCACACGATCGTTGATTTGTGATATTCCAATGTGCCGATTTGTGATTGTACTATTAAAACCGTGGAGATTGCTTGTCGTGAATCTGTGGAAATAGTATAGAACCACATGAGTGGAGTGTAGAAAATTAACCAAAATGGTGCGGAACAACTCCATTCCCTCTCTTGATGAGAATGACACGATCCGATGAATCATCCCAAGAGTCACGAACGCTACTAGTAAGTTCTCAGACAATATGTACAATCATTAAATTTGCATTGTTATGGGGCAGTTTTGTTAGCCTATTTTTGAGATCATAAGTCAAAACTGAGGAAGTAGAAAGAAAAAAGATTCAGCATGTCATTAACTCAGCTGTGCACAGAAAGTAAGTAGACGCACAATGCACATTGCCATACACGGTGTCCAGTGATAGCGCTTAGGATCTCTAAACCTCGGTTACACCGATCCGTAGGGTCCCACCCGGGAAGCTCTTAACAGGACCGATGTGACTGAGTTCATTTTTCTCGAGAATTTCACGTCCTTGTGTCCTTGTGTGTTAGTGTGAACAATCTTAACATTTTCCACTATCTACCTGCCTCGGCGAACATCTCAACTCCAGGCAGCTTCCAAAGAGGCATACATAACATATAGTCCAGCCAACACAACCTACGGAATTTGATCACTTGCCCCGATAGACAGCCGTGATTGCGTATCACTGTTTGCATAATCTCGGTATTGCTTGTTTTTTGTTTCTGGTTTTGAAGTATCTTGTTGTAATTCGTTACGATTGTCTGTCGTTGCCATTTTTGTGATCCGTGATCCTCCGTTTTTTCTTATTTTCTCAACCTCGTTTGTGGCTCCCTCAGTCTTTGCTTGATGTCAAACGAGTCGTACATCGTGCCAAATTTGGTTCGGAAATGCCTCGGGCGTAATCGTGGTCGATGGCGCATATTTCGATCCAACTTGCTCCCACTGTTTCCCTCTCCCATTTGCACGAACATACACCTGTCTCAGAATGTGTCCATATAGGCTCGGATGCAAGAACCATCCAAATACGCCTTCTCTTATCCGCCGTATCTCGTTTGATTATCATTTTTACTATTATTCTTTTGCCATTTTATTTGTCGAACTTCAATCGCAACTTTTGTTCGCATTTGAGCACGTGCTTAGTTTCACATCCTGCATTCAATTTTTCATCCACACATGAACAGACACAGCTGCACACACACACACAGAAACACACGTGACAACTGTCTCAGGTTATTCAATTCTGTCCATCCGGTGTACCATATTCCAGCTTTTTTTCTACTTCCCCAGTTTTATTTCACCCAATTGTATTTACCTTTCGGTTTTTGATGGTTCGTGGCACGAACTACCATTGAGACCGCGCCGCACATCTCGCTCTCACTTTCTCCGTCATTGTCCTGGGCACACATGTTCATCATCATTCCCATCGGTCTCCTACGACCTCTTTCATCCCCTCCTTGTCCCGATACGAACCATCTGGAAACCTGTGTAAGCGTTTCGTTGTGCAGTGACTGAATTCGAATGAATTTTCTATTTCTGGCACCAATTTGGTGGTTGCTACAAGCGACTTGTTTCTCTTCATTCATTGTGTTCTGTATGTCTGTGTGTTGTCTCGACCGGATTTTGATTGCGCTGGTTTTTTTGAATCGCGGTTACACTCAATGGGTATCAATCACTTTAGTGTCATAAACAGTAGAGAACGTGGGTCCCCTAGCTACATGGACCTACCCAAACCCACAAGCCGAATAGTTCGTTTCTGATGCTATGGAGCTTTTAGGCTCTGTCAGGAGTAATTTTAGGTGACCGGGGAGAAGTAGCATTTCTCATTGTAGGTCTGCTGTATTCCTTTAGAGCATTCCTCTAGTTTTCTGGTTCTCGTCTGATACTTGGCCTTGAGAAGTCACAGCGGCAGTACCTAGGTAAGTGGGTCGACATTCTGGTTGAATCAGGTTGAGGATCTTTGAAACAATTCTGATCGCTTCCCGGCATCTTTTACCCTTCTGCCTTGTAACTTGCATTAAAGTTGCTGAATAGTCATAGGAGCGTGATTTCGTATCGTATTTTCGTGATTCTTCCATGGTTATGTGGGGCATAGCTGAAACCATGACTGGGCACGGTGAAGTCGCGCGTGGAAAGCCCAGACCACACTTGGTCTACGGAACTGCTATCGGGTCGAGCACCGTTTGCACCAACCACCGGCGTGCTTTGGACCCTATAGTCCGAGGTTCGAGCCCCGCCACCCGACTTTGGTGGTAGGCAGCTCTGCCGTCGTGCGGTCCAATACCACACCTAACCTAACAAAACGTGGTTCGCCACTCGGTGGCTTAGGTCGCCGTTTCCCACCAGTGAACAGCAGGTCCTCGTGACTATGGGGTTCGCCCCGTCATCACACTTATGTATGTAATAAAATAAATGGAACGTCGTTGTCTGACATGTCCAGGATGCCAAGGACTCCTCGTCGGGTGTGAGACAATCGTGAAAAGGTAGAAATCGCATAGGATCCGTGGGAGATGCTGGATCTAATCCGGCCAGATTATTCGCTATCCCACTGCAGTCAGGCAAAACGTTCGCCCCTCACCGTACGAGATGTGTGTATATATGAACGCCCAATTTGCCTTTCATCTCACATTATCCAGACAGTGTTTTTCGGGGAATTAGGCGATTAAATTTTTCGCAACAGATTGGATGACAGTTGTTATTCTCCATTCCCTTTTTAAACCAATTCCTCACACATCAAGCCTATTTGATGCGTGAAAAATGCTGGTCTCTACAGCTAAGAGAAATCCCCGTAAAAAAAACTCAGTTGCTTCCTCACGCCTATATAATGCTAGCGAGACCGACTCGTGTGATCGGTGTGTCCAAGAGATCCTCCTCCTCTTGAATTGTAGCTGATCACTCTTCCCTATCACCTCTTGTAATGACCATACATACAGATGACTTCTACTTAGGAAGCCTTGCTCACTACCTTCTCGTGGTAGAGGTGTTTTCCCACTAAAGTGAGGGGACGATAAGCCAATATCCGGGACTATAATCAGTTCAGTGAACCAACGGTAGTTCACCTAGGGGAGTTGGCTAAATACCCTCTTTACAAACCTAGAAGAGGCGTAGGAACCATACCGACACCTTGGTGTATTGGGAACCTTGGATATTTGACCCAATTCAATCATATTTTCACACGCCTGCGTTTAGACTGTATGCCAAACAAACTACGGCACAATAATCTTTGTGTAAATGGATGTTTGGCAGATTTGAAGTTTGCATGGCGATTGTGAAAAGTTCAGTAGCCTCGGTGGGATTCCAACCCACGCATGGACGCCGCCTACGCTTTGTATGCGCTCGCTCTACCATCCGAGCTACGAGGGCACACCGCTAGCACTGATCGTTTTACATTAGAATTACCTAACCAACGTACGGAGGCATATGGCATCCACCAATTAGCATGTTAGCTGACTGTTCGAATCCTACTGAGGCTACTGAACTTTTCACAATCGCCATACAGTAATCTTTATGAAAAGAAGAGTCCCATGACCCCCTGCAAAGGATGTATGATTCGAGGAAACGGACACCGGCCCCAATGGATTACGATTTACGCGCACCGCACCGTTGTTTTGTGGGTCGGGCTTGGGTTGTGAATTCCCCAAAAAATTCACCCTGGTAACTTGACAGTCGATGTAGTGATGTTCGTTATTCGTCCTAATAATCTCACAACAATGTGCTATACTTCCTTGTGTCTGCACCAATCGTAACAAATCATGACCAGCGTCTCCGTTGGTAGACTGTGATTAGGCGAACTGTATCGATTATGGCTGCTTAATGAACTTCCCATAACAAGATTGTTGACATCCTCCTAACTGTCATTCGACTTTGGAAGGCTCCGGACATCTAAATCATGCTTCCTGTATGGCATCAAGGGTCTGCGCGGCTTGTAGATAGCAGCTGATTGTGGGGTCCAGTTCAAACCGGCTATTTGGAAGTGCAACGCTTGTTCTAAGGCGTGAAATCAGAAATCTGATCTTCTCTGTCTCAGTTCACTAGAAATGGCCTCCAGTCAATTACCTCATCGGGCTTGAATATCTGTTGCCACCTGTTTTTCAGCCCGGGATTCGGAAATTACTGGAAGCGGAGAAATGAGATCTGAGTGTCAGGTGCAAGACGGAAGTTTTATTGTACGAACGATTGCTTTCCAGAAAGTGCTACTCCCGTATCCCTAGACTGATATGGTTCTACATTATTTTCCAGTTTGGACTTAATTCTCTTTAGATACTAGGAGGTCTATTTTAAACCAACTTGTATTTCATATGGTAAAACGAATTGATCTGTACTAATCCTCTGCGGGCGTAACATCGTTCGATAGTGGGATGCTAGTGTTTCACTCCGGTTTAGCATTTTTTTTTACATGTAGCTACCTCGTTTCGTCACACTGGTGTGTAAAAATTCGCTATAAAATAAATAGAAGTCACAATATCAGTGTTTTTGATTTGACACTTTTTTTTCAGGCGTGTTCCAGCGAATCAAATGCCGCCCCATTCTACGCGGTGACACCGATCACCGACTGTCCTCATGTGTCCATGCTGACCTCACGATCTGATTGGACACCGAATCTGAACAGTCCGTGTAGCTCATGCGCAGAGACTGAGGAAATTTGGGTGTGTTTGGTTTGTGATGAGGTAAGTGATGATGGTCGCAGTGATTTTAATGATATTTGTTTGTCTGTTTTTCCCAGTCAATCGGAATGATTGCCTTCTTGATGTTGTGTTGTGTTCGCGAGATTTCCTCATTCCGTTGTGGTTTGTTTACTCCTCAGGTTATACGCGTGGTATCTGTTTATACTGCATGTCAGTGCTTCATGTTGAATAACTCAACGTTTTACCCGTTTAATATACACTGTATTGTGAAGAACAACGGATAGGATGAAGCCCATAGTCATGAGTATCCACCGTTCGCTTTATGGAAACCGACAACCTAAGTGATGGGACTTGGCCTGAATAAAGATCGATGTGACGAGGATCGCAATCCGGATTGCTTGCTTATCCAGTGTGCTCAAGTATCTTCTCGTACGGTGGATGCTGGATCGTCTATATTGTGTTGATTCCCCCGAAAAACGGATTCACCAAACCCCGTCATCCAAACGATGTCGTCTTAAATCCATTAAACACCGAACTATCATAGCAATGAAACAATCACTGGCGGTTGCTGACGTACAGAAAGGCACTCAGACGAGGATAGTATTTTCTAATCTTTTTGTCTTGATACGTTTGTCCGTCCTTATACTTTCTTCTTTACTCTCCTCCACCCCCACTCCACTCCTTGCCTGTTTCTCTCATCCTGTTCACCAGACAGGTTGCGGTCGTTATGCCCAAGCACATATGCTTGAACACTTCAAACGTACCCAGCATCCGATCGCCCTGAGTTACGCTGACTTGTCTATTTGGTGCTATCTGTGCGAGTCGTACATTCGTAGCCCGGTACGTTTGCTTGTTTACACGGTTTGTGTGTTGGTTTCTATAGCGAGGGTTTTATTTCGAAAGCGTCCTACCAGCTCTATTCGATATAGTATACAGTGTACACTCAAACACGTCGGTGGTCAGGATGTCGAATCACAATTGGAAATCGACATTGGACCGCGGTGGTGGTTGACTAGACCTGTGAACCGGATACAATCATCCCGTATACGATCATTGTGGACCTCATTCTAAATGAATAAAGTTGGCGGCGGCGAATTTGTTTGTTGCACGGTTTCTATATACACTGACTGTTGGGTCAGATTTCACCAGCGCTCTCACCTTGCACACCAATTAGATTCGAGTGCAAAACCAACGCATTTTGATTGTGAATAAATACAAGATAGAGAGAATAACATAAGACGAGATGAAAATGGGGGTATATGGGTTTGTTCAAATCACATCTTACGGACGGGGTGCAATCGAATTGAATCCACTCCGCGGTCGGATATGGTACGATCGGACGAATGAAGTCTGAGATCTGAGAGAACTTTCATGACAGATGTTTTCTTTTTTTATTACACACGTTGGTGAGATAAATAAAGTTAAAGTTTTATTATGGAAATAGCTTACAAGCTGGTGCTTCTCTTGTCCCATAGGATATTTACACAGATGAACCATTACACATCGAAAAGGAGTCGCATAGAGATCCGGGTAGGAGATAGAGAACGTAGGCTACAGTGGATTTCCGTTTGCCTTTAGTGTACGAATGTGAGATGTTCCAAGGTTTTGTCGAGTCTCTGCTTGAAAGATTCAATAGTGCGTGCACAAACGACATGAGATGGAAGGGCGTTCCAAGATTTGCATACTCTGACTGCAAAAGACTGGCGCCGGCAATCCAGTCGAGACTTTGGAATCAGTAGTTTGAAACGGTGTCCCCTTAGGTGTACATTGTTCGATAACATGAGAAGCGATCGACACGGATGGTTTGGGTTCTTCAGTATTTGATACGTCAAAATCAAGTCTCCTCGAGTTCAGCGGTACCGAGCAGAATATAGTCCCAATGATCGCAATCTGTCCTCGTATGACAGGTATTGGAATCCTTTGACCATCTTGGTGGCCATCCTTTGTGGAC